ACCTGTTACACACCAAACACCATGCTAAGCGATTTATTAATATCTCATTTGATTCTCACAACAACCCTGAGAGCTAGGTGCTATTATTATCCCCATTTTACATTTGAATAAACTGAGGCAGACAGAGGTCAAACACTTTGTCCGGGGTCACATAGCATCAGAAGACAAATTTGAACTCAACTCTTCTACTCTCTAGACCCAGCTGCCTCCCCAGGGCAAAGAAATAGTTGTTCAGAGAGCCCACATATACATACATAACAACCTAGGTGCCCTTACTTCAGATCCCATTATCTTTTCCTCCACAACACTGTTGGTTTAACCTAGCCAATAATCTGTTAACTCAGATCAGCTAGGCAGCACAGTGCATAGAACAATGGACTCAGAGTCCAAAAGACCCAAGTAGAAATACTGCCTCAGATATTTACTTACTTGGGTAACCCAGGGCAAGTCACTTAGTCTTTCTCAACCTCAGTTTCTTCATTTGTAAAACTAGGGGGTTTTAACATGAAAGCCTCCAATGTCCTTTGCAGCCCTAAATCTATCATCCCTATTCTCTTCAGGATATAGAACAGGCAGTGGCTGCATCTCTGACTCAGTTTCCTCTTCTATAAATATGAGGATAATGCTAGCATCTACATCACAGGGTGGCTGAGGATCAAATGAGATAATATATGTACAGTGTTTTGCAAACCTTAAAGCACTATTTAAATGCTAGTTTTTATCATTGTTGTTGTTGAATAATCAACTATCCTTTCACCCAATTTAATGATACTGATGTTTGTCCAAGTATCAAGATATTGTACTGGCACCTACATCATGGAGAGAGATAGCACCCAAGTGCTTGGACTCACCAATCCAAGGCTCTAATTTTTCAGTCTTGGTTTATATTCATATGCTTATTAGAAATTCTTACTTTCAGGGCTAGAGAATGATCAAGGAAGCTAAGTTGCACAGTGGCCAGGACTGGAGTCAGAAAGACCTGAGTTCAAATCTGGCCTCGGATACTTACTAGCTGTATGACCGTGGGTAAGTCACTTAACCCTGTTTGCCTCAGTTTCCTCATCTGTAAAATGAGCTGGAAAAGGAAATGGCAAACCACTCCGTTATCTTTGCCAAGAAAATTCTAAATGGGGTTATGAAGAGATGGGTATGACTCAACAACAACAAAGAGAATGACCATCTTTAAAATAAATTTTCATCAACAAGCAGATTTCTGCATTCCAAGCAGAGCCAAAGCGGTGGTTGATCACTGTGATCTAGCAGTATATGGCAAAGTTTCTGCTTCCTGTAGAGGTTGATCAGAGCACATTGCACCATCACTCTACCATTTACTTGAGATTATGTAATCCCATACAAATAAACACTTAATAAATGCTTCTGAAAATGGTGACAGGCAAGACAAGAGAGGGGAAAGGCTGATTACAGGAAACAAAACCTCATTAGCTCCCTAGGTGACCTGTAGAAGAATTGTTCATGAGCAGCTTAGATATGGAAGGAGAGGAGGGAGGTACAAGAAGGGGAAGCAGGCAGTATCTGAGCCCTTTGACAAGCTGAGAGCAATGCCACAGCCATGGATTTGGTCTAATAAATATTTATGGATGATGATGATAATAACAGTGGTGATGATGGTGATGATGATGATAGCACTAAGATAGAGCTTCAAGGTTTGCAAAGCGCTTTACAAATATTATCTCATTTGATCCTCAAAATCACTCTGGAAGGTTGGTGTTATTTTTTTCTTAGTCCCATTGCTTATTTTTCTTTTTAAAAAATATATCATATTTTTCCCCAATCACATGTTAAAACAATTTTTAACACTTGGGTTTTTTTTCAAGTTTTGAGTTCCAAATTCTATCCCTTCTTGCCTCCTTCTCTCACCCCTCCCTGAGACAGTACAAACAATCAGATATAGGTTATACATATGCAATCATGTAAAACATTTCCATGTTAGTCATTTTGTATAAGAAGATTTGAATAAAAGAAAAAGAATGAAAGAAAAAGAATGAGAGAGAAAGGAAGAAGGAAGGAAGGAAGGAAGGAAGAAAGAAAGAAAGAAAGAAAGAAAAAAGAAAGAAAGAAAGAAAGAAAGAAAGAAAGAAAGAAAGAAAGAAAGAAAGAAAGAAAGAAAGAAAGAAAAAGCATGCTTCAGTCTATATTCAAACAGTATCAGTTCTTTCTCTGGAGGTGGATAGTACACTTCATCATTAGTACTTTGGGATTGTCTTGGATCACTGTATTGCTGAGAAGAGCTACGTCATTCACAGAACAATGTTGCTGTTACTGTGAACAACATTCTTTTGGTTCTGCTCAGTTCACTATGCATCAGTTCATGTAAGTCTTTCCAGGTTTTTCTAAAGTCATCCTGCTTGTCATTTCTTATAGCATAATAGTATTCCATCACAATCACACCCCACAGCTTGGTCAGTCATTCCCCAATTGATGGGCATCCCTTTGTTTTCCAATTCTTTGCCAACATATAAAGAGCTACTATAAATATTTTTGTACAAATAGGTCCTTCCCCCTCCCCCTTTTTCAAGTTTTTGGGATATAGACCTAGCAGTGGTATTGCTGGGTCAAAGGGTGTGCACAGTTTGATAGCCCTTTGAGCACAGTTCCAAATTGCTTTCTAGAATTGTTGGATCAGTTGACAACTCCACCAAGAGTATATTAGTGTCCCAGTTTTCCCACATCCCCTCTGACATCCAACATTTCCTTTTTCTTTATGATAGCCAATCTGATAGGTGTGAGCTATGAGGTGGTATGTTGGTGTTTTACAGATAAGGAAATTGAAGCAGATAGCAGTTAAGTGAGTTGATCTAAGGCACACAAGTCATTACAACAAGCCAGATTTGAACTCAGATTTCCCTGAGCTAGGGGCTCTCTATACTGAAGTTCATCCAAGGTTTAAGCTTAGCAAAGAAAAGCCCTTTCCCTGATTACATTATTTGATACTCACAACAGCTCTGTGAGGTAGGTGAGATTATTATTTCCATTTCACAGAAAACTGTAGGAAACAGGCTCAGATAGAGTGAATGACTTGACAGGTCATTTAACTAGTAACTGGGGAGTGGAGGGTGGGACAGAAGTTCTAAATCAGGCTTTCTCTGATTTTCTATCCCCTAAACTAGGTTAACTTTGAATAATGTTCTGCCTCTCCCCCACAAAAACAAACCCAAACAAAACCCACTGGGAACCATACAGCAGACAATGCCAAAAGAAGGTCTCCAGGAAAGTTGAACTAATGTTAGTAAAAATGTTATCCCATTCCAATCTTCCCACCTATTTAACTATTCCCATCTTGCACCATCTCTGCCCTTTTCAGGCTGAAACCCTCCTGTGAATTCCTGGCCCTAGCCTTTCTCCACAACCTTCCACTGTGTTAAGGATAAAATCTCAGTTGCCAAGCCAAAAGTGGAGGAAAGATAAGAGGAGAAAAAGGGATCGCTTTCTTAGACCAATCCCCTCATCTTCTCCCGTCTACAATTCTGTTCCTTCTCATCTCATTGACACCCTTCCAGTTCCTCCCCCATCTTCTGCTGGCACCTGGAGGATTGATCTTGGTTGGCGCCCGAGCTCAGTAGGGTTAAGGGAAGTGTTGGCTCATGTACCCATCTGCAAGAGAGAGTAGTCGGTTAGGGTTGCCTGCCCGGAGAGAAGGAAGGCACCGGAGCTCAGGCTATCCCAGGTCTGGTGCAGCAAGGCTGGAGCGACTGACCCCTGGCTTATCGTGGGATTAGACGGGCACACTGCCTCCAGTCATTAAAAAGGGGGCGGGGAGGGTTGTAGTCTGATTTCCCTCGAATTCCGCATTCAGTCTCAAACATCGCAAATGCGAGATTTCCCCCAGTTCCAAACCGCAGCACTACCCCTGGTCCCCCAGCAATCCAGGGGCGAGGCTCATCCCACCGCGCCCTGGCTGGGCCAAGCATTGGCATATTTTCTTCTGTTTTACAAGCAGCTCTCTTTCCAGCCCAGGAGAAGTACCAAGGAGAGGGGATGTTCTTCCAGAACATTTTGGTCACGCCCCCAACTTGAAGTTACCAGCTCTCCCACCCCAACATCCGCAACCACACCCCACATCTTCCGCTCAGGATCAGCTCCATCCCAATCTTTGTAGACACTGAATCTCAGGGGTGGCTTTGAAGGAAATCTGTATCCAGGGCACCGTCGTACCCTGAATACTAGGCTGGCAATAGGTGGCTGGAGGTGGCGGGTGGGGAGGGGAATGTGGATAGAGGTGTGTGCAAGGGACCTGGTCCATAAGCCCTCTCCTCTGGTCCAACCCTTTTCTGCTGGGGCAGTCTAAAGGTCGATTGCCTAGGGATGGAATGGGAGGACCAGTTCCACCCCTACTCCCGTATTCCCCTACCCCTCTATCCCCTGTAGATTAGAATCTTGCATTTCCCAACGTTCCACCCTCCCAACTTTGTAAGATAGAGCCTCCTATCACCACGGCCCCCGAAAAGAGCCGCTGCCACTCGGGGAAGGACACGTGGATGTGTCTGCTCTTGTTTCTGTGTGGTTTAGGTAGCAGGAGGACCGGAAGGATAACAAGGAAGTAGGAAAGGGTTTCCTGAGATGAGAGATTACTTCCGTCCATCCTCTTTCCCGTTTGGAAGCAGCAAGGGCTCGGGATTGGTACTGGGACAGGGGCTGGGACCTGGGGCCCGGGACTGGAACCACAGAAGCAGCACCCAAGCGCTTCTTCTTCCTACCGTGAAGGCAGCAGGAAGCAGGTGGGGAGGGAGCATGGGTAATTCTGTGTAACACACTCAGCCCTATGGGAGAGGGTCTGAAATAGAGATAGTGAAAGAAACAAAAAGACAGAGGGGAGAGAGAGGAAGAGAGAGGAAGGAAGGAAGGAAGGAAGGAAGGAAGGAAGGAAGGAAGGAAGGAAGGAAGGAAGGAAGGAAGGAAGGAAGGAAGGAAGGAAGGAAGGAAGGGAGAGAGAAAGGAAGAAGAGAAAGGAAGAAAGGAAAAGGGAGGGAGGAAAGAAAGAAGGAAACTTGAAGGAAGGAAGGAAGGAAAGAAAGAAGAGGGAAAGAAGGAGTTTAAAACAATTAAAAGCAGCCAAGCAATGGTGGCCAAACAGCGGATCCGGATGGCTAACAAGAAGCACAGCAAAAACATCACACAGAGAGGGAACGTAGCCAAAACCCTGGTAAGACAGGACATGGATGCTGTGCTATGGTGGGTTGGGGAGGGGGTGCATCTCAGAAGCTGGCTTTCTTTCTCCCTAAGGCTGAGCATGAATCCCTTCCTCTTCATATATTCTGCCATATGCTGCTTCACTCCAGTGAGGATGGGGATACCATGGACTGTGGACCTGGAAATAGAGGAAGGCGAGGAATAAAGACCCTTTTCCCAAACTGAGGAAACTTGGAGAGAGGGTAATGAATTACCTAGAGAAGGGAACAGAGGGATTGTAAGATTTTGAACTAGAAAGGACCACCTTAGAGATTTTGGGAACATAGAATCATAGTTTCGGAATTTGAAGGGACCTTACACCCTAAAGCTAAGTGACTTTCCCCCAAGGTGGCAGAGATGGAATTCAAACCTCAATGCTCTGATTCCAAAGCCAAGGCTTTCCCCACTACTCTAGGCCAGTAACTTTGCCCATCAGACTTGCTCATCCCTGTGGCTGGGGCTACCCAGACTCGTAGTTGGGTCACCAGAAGTGGAGAGAGGATCCTAGCTAGTACAGCAACAAATCATTCTGATATTGCCTGATGTTTTGTGGACTACAAAGCAGGATGAGATCACAGAAAGGGCTCAGTTTGAGCCATCTTTGAAGGAATCTTCCAAATAGAGAAGTATTCTGGGAAAGAATGAAAGCCATATCATTAGAGGAAAGATAACTTGGATTTGAGATGCAGTTAGGTGGTGCAGTGGATAGAGTGCTTGACCTGGAGTCAGGAAGACTCTGGCCTCTGATACTTACTAGCTATGTGACCCTGGACAAGTCACTTAACCCTGTTTGCCTCAGTTTCCTTATCTGTAAAATGAGCAGGAAAAGGAAATGGCAAACCATTCCAGCATCTTTGCCAAGAAAACCCCAAATGGGGTCATAAAGAGTTGGACAGGATTGAAAACAATTGAACAACAATAAAAAACTCGGATTAGGACAAGAATTAGAAATCACACCTTCAAGCTAGGTCTAGGTTGGGGGAGCGGAGAGGGGTTGTTTTTTTGCTTTGGTTTTTCCCCAGTTCTTATTTATTATCCCATTTGCTAGAGTGGTAGTTCCAATAGAGACTTTGAAGTCAACCGAGCAGATTAGACAATATCTTTTCTTAATGATTTATGTAACTGTCCAAAAGTAAGATCTGCTAACACCATGCTTCATAGAACCCATGCCAAACCGGAATGCATGCAATGTCAGAGAAACTCTGCGTGTAAACTGAACTTCACTTTGACTCTTGAGTTCCAAGTTAAACTACTCCCTGTCTGTCTTTTCAGTGATTTATTAGGACATTACATTGAGCTGTTGGTAGTAAAACTTCCAGTCTGGGCTCTACAGAGCCATTGAATGGGAAACACTTTTCACTGAAGTATGTCTCCTTAGTTAATTTCACTCAGTAGAGACCTGCTGTGCTAATTAATATTCAAGCACATACTTTCAACCTTAAGCTTGAGAGGTAATCTCTCTTCCAGGTCACACTAGAGGGAAGGGTTTTTTTGTTTTGTTTTGTTCCTGAGCTTTTACCTGATGGTTTAAGTGGCAGCAAAGTTATACCAACTTGAAGTGAAAGGTTTCCTTGCCAAGGAGAACGTTTGTATGTAATATTTGAATATAACTAGAGGGACTGTTTACTTCATTTCTCTGCTAGCTTTCTAGCTAATTTTGATGTAAATGAATTAGCCCCTTCTAGGTGAGATGAAATTCTCTCAGAAGAAAACAATGAAAATTGATTTTCCCAATTCCTAGTCAGAGCAAGTAGACTGGTATATGTCTGTGTTCTTGGTTTCTTTCAGTAAGTTAGGAGATTTGAAATGTATTCCATCTAAAATTTCAGGCAGCGTATTTAGTTTGGGCATGTGAGGGAGCTTTCTTTGTAAAGAAATTTCATCAACCAATGTGGACCACACCTGCTTTGTAATGGAGTTTTATATAGTTGTCTGGGAGTCCTGGTAGGTTAAGTGATTTCCCTAGGGTTACACAGTCAGAATCTCCATCCTGATGCTGAGGCCAGCTCTCTGTCCACAGAAGAGGATTAGATAAGGAACATTCTGAATTACCCTCTTAAAATCATAGGAAGAGCTACGAGGGATTAACTTTATCTGCTAGAGCACAGATTTTGCATTGTATTGGCTCCACAAGGATGGTACTCCTTTACCAAAAGGTATTAATCAAAAACTCTTATCTACCTAACACTTGGATTCAGGATTCACTGGATTCCCAGACAGGATGATGGCAAATACACCTAAAGCCAACAAAACCATTAATGGAATTTAAGGCGGACAGCTATCAGCTATTGAAAAAAAAATTATTGAACTCTGATGAATTATGATTCAGAAATTTGGGGAGCTCTTTACTCCAATTTCAAGTTTCTGTCTAAAACTTTTTCTTCCTGTAGATTAAGGAGCTTCATTCCAGTTACCAAGTCATTTCTGGGTTCCTAAATTCTTTTTTTTTATTATTTCAACTAGCTGTATAGGCAAAGCAACTTCTTTAGCAAGTGTGGGAAAACATCTGCAGAACTAGTTTTTATTAAACTATCTCAGACTAGTGTCATGTAGGAGAGTTGGAGTAAAGATGAGAAGGGGCAGGTATCAAAATCAGTTCCAAGTAACTTCATTTAACATCAGTTTATGTACTTGGTCTAGAGAAGACTAGGCCATAAGACCAAATGTAATGGCTGCACTGTGAAACCTCCACTAAGAGTTATCATTTTCAGTTATTTAAGATCAATTTTTCCTTCATTATGTTGGGTCAGAGGCAATATGGTAAATTGAGAGGATGATTAAATCAGATGGAATTCTTCATCTCCCTGAGCAGAGGAATCCATGAACTATCTCTTCTTTAGTCAAAATTTGCCTGACATCTACACATTAAAGCAAGCCACTGAGAAAATCATTTATGCAAAACCCAATCTGTTGTCCATTAGGAGTTGGAGTTGAAGAAGAAGGCATGTCCCAATCCTCTCTACCTGATCTAAAAGATTAGTTGGGTTTTTTCCCCACTAAGCCTTAACCACTAATGAGATATTTCACTAAATAAATAATCTCAGATCAATCCAAAAAAGCTGGTGAAAGCTTTTAACAGCAGAACATAGCTTGTCTTTTTAGGCTTATATTTAGTCAAGGCCTATTTGGCCCAAAGCTAATAAGAATGTAATTTTGTGTCCTTTGATTTTTTTTTGTCCCTTTTAGCTTTATCTTGGCAATGCTTTTTCTGGATCTTTCGGGCATAATCAACTAAACATCCACACATGCATATATATATATGTTTGTTAATTGATTGATTTAAGCACTTCCAAGTATTCAGTGAAATTATTTGTTAGGCTTATATTTTTGCCATGATGACGATGATGATGATGATGATGATGATGATGATGGCTGACATATACATAGTACTTTATGTACATTCTCTCTTTGATCCTCCTAACTGCACTATGAAGAAGATACTAGAGGTATTATCCTCATTTTACAGATGAGGAAACCGAAGCTAGGAGAGGTTAAGTAATTTACCCAAGGACGCACAACTAATGTCAGAGGCAAGCTTTGAACCCAAGTCTTCCTTGACTCTTGGACCATCATGCTCATACAGCATGCTACCTCCAAGTACAAATGGGTTTGGAGATTCCCTGAGATGGATGAAATTTATGCAAGGAAGGAAAATTATTTTTACAAGGAAAGTTTGGAGAGAATTGTTTCGTGTAGAAAGGTGTAGATTAAACTTTCCCAGATCATAGAATGTCAGAGCTGGAAGGCCCCTTAGAGATAACCTAGTCATTTTGCAGGTGAGGAAACTCCTGCTTGGTGGCCTGAGGCCTCAGGAGGCTGAACAGCTTGCCCAGCTCCTACAGCTCATTAATGACAGGAGCAACATTAGAAACCAGGTTTCAACTTCTAGTCCAGTCGTATGAAACCCTGCTGTAGAATGCTGAGTAAAAGATCCTAGGCTTGAGGCTTGACTCCCTCCTTGCAGTCTGTGTGACCTTTGGTGAGCTAGGGACTTTTTCTAGGCCATTGTTTTCTCATTTGCAAAATTCAGGGGGGAAGGTGGGGAGTGAAAGCTGGACTTGATCAAGGGTTCTTGGCTTGAGGTCTGTGACTTTTAAAAAAAAACTATTTTGATAGCTGTATTTTAATATAATTGTTTTCCTTTGTAATCCTATGGATTTTATTTAATATATTTTAAAACATTGTTCTGAGAAAGGCTCCAGAGACTTCAGCAGACTCTCAAAGGGGCCCATGAAGAACCTCTAGGTTAGATCTCTAAATTCCTTTACAACTATAAACTATATGATTCTGTGATGCTGTAATCCCCTCCAATTCAGGATATTTTTATCAGGGCCTTTGCTTGTGGTCAAAAAAAAAGACATTATGAAAAAGGAAAAAGAAATTAACTTGATTAACTTTCTCTCTCTCTCTCCTTCTTTCTCTCTATTGTCTCTCCCTCCCTCTCTTGCTCTTTTTCTCTCTCCCTCTCTTCTCTCTTCTCTCCCTCTCTCTTTCTTCTTCTTCTTCTCCTCCTCCTCCTTCTCCTCCTCCTCCTTCTCCTCCTCCTCCTTCTCCTCCTTTTCCTTCTCCTTCTTCTCCTTCTCCTTCTCCTTCTCCTTCTCCTTCTCCTTCTTCTTCTTCTTCTTCTTCTTCTTCTTCTTCTTCTTCTTCTTCTTCTTGTCTGTCTCTCTGTCTCTCTCTTTCTCTCTCCCTCTCTTCTCTCTTCTCTCCCTCTCCCTTTCTTCTTCTTCTCCTTCTCCTCCTCTTTCTTCTCCTCCTCCTTTTCCTTCTTCTCCTCCTTCTTCTCCTCCTTTTCCTTCTTCTTCTTCTTCTCCTTCTTCTTGTCTGTCTGTCTCTCTCTCTCTTTCTCTCTCCCTCTCTTCTCTCTTCTCTCCCTCTCTCTTTCTTCTTCTTCTCCTTCTCCTCCTCCTCCTCCTCCTTTTCCTCCTCCTTTTCCTTCTTCTCCTTCTTTTTCTTCTTCTTCTTCTTGTCTGTCTGTCTCTCTCTTTCTCTCTCTCTCTCTCTCTCTCTCTCCTTCTCTCTCTCTCTCTCTCTCTCTCTCTCTCTCTCTCTCTCTCTCTCTCTCTCTCTCAATACTATTAACCGATTCATCAATTCAGAAATTGGAAGTAGATTTGTTAGCCTCAAGATCTGCCTTTACATGTGAACTTATAAGGCAAATCTAATTCTCTTTTCTCTGGTCCCTTCCATTTTAGAGACCACAAGAAGAGAAATACCCTGTGGGCCCGTGGCTGCTGGCACTGTTTGTTTTTGTTGTCTGTGGATCAGGTATGGACACTGTACCTGGGAACAAATGAAGGGTGTTTCAATGCTAGCCTTCACCTCCATATTATTCTTTCTCAGTGGAGAAAATATGTTTTATTTATAAGGACAGCCTATTAGAAGCATATCAGTTTAAGACTCTTAGTAATTATTGCCTCGGTCTTGAGCTGATCCATTTTTTAAAAAATATATGGACTATTTCATGAAATTGTATGTCTTCCTTGGGCAGGGGCCATCCTAATCTTCTCTGTATCATTCCAGTTTCAGTATATGTGCTGCTGAAGCAAGCATGAACTGATCCATTATTAAAGGGGACATAGGTCTTTCTTGGTGAACAAAGCTCACAGGTACCATGTGACGTCTATTCTGTCCATTTTCTGTCCCCTATTATAGCAAAGAAATAAGAAGCCAACAAGATCAAAGATCAGATGGGATAAACATGTAAAGATTGATGTAAACTCTAACACATTAAATAAATGCTAGCTATTATTGTCATTATTGATTTTATGGTTGTTGCTGTTCCAGCAAATAGGAATAGCATAAGAATTAGTATAACACATCACATCAAAATGAATTGACCAAAGCAGATATAATAATATCAGCTAGCATCCATGTAGCGCTTTAAGGTTTGTAAAGAAAGCCATTTATGAACATTATCTCGTCATCATAACAACACTGAGATGGGTGCTATTTTTATTCCCATTTTACAGATTTGGAAACTGAGGCAGACAGAAGTTAAGTGACTCATCCAGGGTCACATAACTAGTAAATTTCTGGGGCTGGATTTGAGCTGAGGGCTTCCTGACTCTAGGCCCAGTTCTCTAGTCAATGAATCATCTACCTGCTAAATATCTAAAATTTAACTGTTACCACAACCCACCTGTTTAAAGAAGAGTTAGAGCTTCTCGGGGGAAGTCGCAGTAAGAGTATTCTTTCTGAAATAAGGTTCATATTCCAGAGCGTGACACATTCTTCTCTAGGATTGATGCCTTGGGCTTTCATGTTGGGTTGAGCCTTTGACCTATAGTTCATGTGGTCATCTTGGACTTGGGAAGCTATAAGTAAGTGGCAGGTTTCACTTTCACATTGATTTCCTTCCAAGATCACCCATGGAGGGAAATACCCGAGGAAGCAGGACCTGAAATGTTGGAGTTTTGTAACCTTTCAAACGATTATCAAGATTCCTGAAGGAGGAGATTCAAGCTGATGCACTGTCAACAGGGACATAGGTTTCTATTGTCCTGGTGACTGAAGCAAACAGGTTACCATGTGACATCTATTCAGCCCTGTTCTGTGCCCTAGCCCAGCCAAGAAACTTGTTCTTCCTAGACTACTCTAATGACACCAACAAGACATGCAAGGAATGCTAAACATTGAGTTACGAAGACCTGGGTTCAAATCCCACATCTGACCTTTAGCTCTGTGATCCTGAACAAGTCACCTAGCCTATCTGAGCCTCAGTTCCCCATTTATAAAAATACAGGTTCCTTCCAGCTCTGACTCTATGATCTTATTTTCTATGTTCTTTGGCAAGGGAGAAGGCACTAACTAAATGATTTTCTTTTGACTTTCTAAAGTGGTGGTTTCCCTAAAAGAGACCAAACCGCATAGGAGGCTGGGGAAGGTATCTGTCCCAAGGTGCTGCTGGGGCTCAGAATAGTTTTTCCATTATGATTTTAGTTTCCAGGACTATCTGCTACCCAATCAAAAAATTTATTTGTAAGGGAAGCAAATGAAAAACAAATTAGGAAGAGGACCAAAAAACCCTAAAAAGTGTAGTTGGTGCAGTAATAATAACTTACATCACTTATATAGTATTTTAATGTTTATAGAGTGCTTTACAAATTATCTCATTTTATTTCCACAACAAACCTGGGAGGCAGATGGTATTATTATTCCCGTTTTATAGAAGAGGAAACTAAGAGGGTAGCTAGGTGGTGTAGCAGATAGAACACCAGCCCTGGAGTCAGGAGGACCTGAGTTCAAATCCAGCCTCAGACACTTGACACTTACTAGCTCTGTGACCCTGGGCAAGTCACTTAACCCCATTGCCTAGCCCCCCCCAAAAAAAGAGGAAACTAAGGCAGAGATTAAGTGACTTTCCCAAGGTTACACAGCTAGTATGTGTTTGAGGTGTTATTTGAAGCCTTCTGCTTAAGAAAAAAATGTTTTATTTTTATATCACCTTCATTTCTGTGTATAGCCCTTCCACCTCCCCATGCAGCTAGCCATCTGTTACAACAAAGAATGGAAAAGAAAGAAAAAAAGCAATCTGACAAAACCAAGCAAAGCATCAACTGAATTTGATAGTATGTGTAGTAAACCTTTGCAAGGAAAAAGAGGGAGTTTGTGATTGCAAAAGTCTTCTAACCAGTCTCTTATCCTCCATTCCATCCATCCTATATGCCCTTACCAGATTAATCTTCCTAATGCACAGTTCTGATCGCTTCCTTCCTCTACTCAGAAATATTCAATAATTCTCCATTGCCAGATGAATGGAGTTCAAAATCCTTAGCTTGTCATGCAAGGGCCCACCCAGTTTGGTTCCTGCTGCCATGGAGAATGAAGGAATAAAAGGTTTCTGGGGGAAAAAATCAAAGAAAATATTTAAGAGGAGGACAAGGAGGAAAAATAATTTGGGAAGACACAGATCTTCTGAATCCAAACCTTCGTTAAAAGGCAGAGGTAGAAGGATGTGACTCTGAAGTAAAGGAAGAAAGAGCCTCAGCCCACTGGGGTTAGGTAATAGCTTAGTGGGAATGCCATGGATGAAGCTCTGACCAGGAGTAGTCAGACAAATAGAAGGAGAACAAGGAGAGAAGAAGAGAAGAAGAAAGAGTGGCTAAGAAGAGACTGTGATCAACAGTGTCAAAGACTACAGAGGGGTCAAGAAGGATGAGGATTGAGAAAAGGTCATTAGATTTGGCAATTAAACCATCACTGGTAACTTTAGAAAGGGCCATTGTAGTTGGATGAGTCCAAAAGCCAGATGACAAAGAGTTAAAGGTGAGAGGAGAGGAAGTAAAGGCACGGCACCATCCTTGATGAGAATGCACCATGCTGGCCAGACCTGGCCAATGTCTCCCATGTCATACAATCAATTGCTAGTTATTACCATCATCATCATAAGTATTATTATTATTATTATTATTATTATTATTATTAACCATCTAGAATTGAAATGCCTTGCCTCAGGAGGAAGTGGGTTCCTGCTAGCTAGAAGTCATCCATCAAAGGTTTGATAACCACTGTGCAAGCATGTTGCAGAGTATATCCTCATTCACATTCAGGTTGAGGCCAGTGGTCCCTGTGATGCTTTCTTATTCCCACATTTACAAATGTAGCTATCGACAAAGAGCATGGGGTGCCGTAGAGGGATAGTGAGTTCCTTCTCACTGGGTGTCTTCAAGCATAGGCCTGATGACCCATTATTGCCAAATTTGAGGAATTCGGTAGATGAGATACATGTTTTCAATATAAATTAGACTGAACATCCTCAAAGGTCCCTCCCAATTCTGATTTTTACTTCTGGAACTTTATCTTATGGAGAAAAAGCAAGTGAAGAATAATAAGCCTTCCTTTTTTTTTTCCTTTTGGGGTAACTAGGTGGTACAATGGATAGAGTGCTGGGTCTAGAATCAGGAAGACCTGAATTCAAATCCAACCTCAGACATTTACTAGCTGTGAATGAAGAACCAATAACAACAACTGTGTGACTCTGAACAAGTCACTTAACTCTGCCTCAGTTTTCTCATCTGTAAAATGAGCTGGAGAGGAAATGGCAAACCACTCCACTATCTTTGCCAAGAAAACCTCGAATGGGATCACGAAGAGTTGGATACAACTGAAAATGACTAAACAACAACCCTTTTCCTGGAGAAGGGAAATAGGGGCTCTGCTTTTTTCCTAAGAGCTGCAATCTAGATAGGCTTTCCTGGCTGATCCTGGGCCAGAATTGATACATTCAGTCATTGCTTCTGAAAGTTGTGGTCACTATGAGGGAATTGACCAATGGTGGTTTTCTTCTTCTGGCTGTGGCTAAGAATTACCTCCTACCAAATACACATCTGGCAGGGTACCTGCAGCTGAGCCCCACACTCACCTCCCCGCTCCTATAACTACTTCATATATCTAGGAGGGTAGAAGACATACCTCTTAGAGCAGAGCATCCATCTAAGTATCGTTTATGAATATCATAAGGTAGCATTTATTTAATCTTCCATTTCATGCTCCCATAATGGTTACCTTCACCCTTGGCAAAACCAGCTTAAGGAGTACAGCCATTAAGAGTAATTACGGCATTTCCAAGGCTATTTCCTTTGAGAAACATCACAGCCTTTAACATACCAACATACGTCACAGACAGAGGTTTGGCTTGTGTTTTTGTTTTTATAATCTCTCTAAGCAGACCGTGATGCATGGGTTCATCAGACCCCTTCTTAGTCCCACTAGGGTATCAGGATAAAGCTCATGAGGATGGTGTGCTGTTAAGATTCCAGGTCTTCAGCTGTACCTTGAATAGGTTTCCCCTTGCTTTTAACATTGCCTTAATGTCTCCTGTGGTCTCTAAATAAGAAAACAGTCGACATTATCTCTTAAGTACTTAGGGTACATGTCAGCATTTTCAATGATAACATGCTTCACATATGATAATATTTTTCCATGTGATAAGGCATTGAAGAAAGTCTCCCAGACAGTGAACCAAAGCCAGCCTTTGCTGGTTTGCATGTTAGCCTGCTGGAGGTTGTTTAAGAGTAGAAACAAAATGTGAATTTCACTTCCTCCCAAACAGCTCTAAAAACCAGTGGTTTGCGGCAGCAGTATTCCTACTGAGATAAAGTAAGCTATCGGCAATAGCTTTTGGTACAGTATGTTTATTTCAAGGAATGAAAGTTTTTGTATTAACTAAATGGAATAGCTCAAGGCTCTCTCTTGTATCTTTTTTTTTTGCATTCTTTTTAGTTGGTTTTTAAAAAATGTTAAAGCATGTCAGAAATCCGAACTGT